TTTAGGGAAAGGTGTCCTCTTACCAGAGAGTTGCTAAATAGTAAAAATGATAATTGTAGAGAGGAACAAACCTGAGTGTCCTCTCATGGAGGTTCTACTGTACTTTATCTACATAACTGTTTTAATGTCCATCTATACAGAGAGCTAAACAACAACTGACTCACCCGTGCAGCCAAGGTCACGCTCCGCTGCGTCACGTGGGAAAACATAGGTAGATGTTTTCTTACATGTTCTCAGCACATCCCCCTTTTTAAGACTTGAAATATATATATACATTACAAACTTTAAATGCATAATATAATTAATAATGAAGGCGATCCACAGGTTTAACAATTCGTCCACTCCGGGTTCTTATCTGGCCGTCTTCTGAGTCGTTAGAGGGATAATCCACAACTGGGGTCTTTTCATTTTCAACCAGTTCCTCCCCCGAAAAGGTCGGCGTCGATGGGTCGGCTGGATATTGCACTGCATATCCTTTTCGTAGATGGAACCTGTTTCGACGTAAAGTCCCAACTGGAGTATCAACCATATACGACCTTGGTGTCGATGCTTTCTTCTTTACAATCCCCCAGGTTCGCATATCTGTAATCCAAACCGTGTCACCTTCGGATAGCTCCTCCATGTCCGTAGCTCCGCAGCGTCGATCATATCTGGATTTCATATCCTTTCTCCTTCTCCCCTCCTTTCTTTTCAGGGTCTGAGAGTCCACCAACCTTGGATTAAGATTCTCTGGTGCAATTGGCAAGGTCGTTCGGAGTTTACGTCCCATGAGAAGCTCAGCAGGGCTGTAACCGTTCTCCAAAGGGGTCGATCGATACTCCAGGAGTCCAAGCGATGGGTCTTGATTTTTCTTGAGGATCAACTTAGCAATTTTCACACCTGCTTCTGCCATCCCATTGCTCTGCGGGAATCGAGGACTTGAAGTGACATGTGTGAATCCGTACTGCCTTGCGAAATTTGCAAACTCACGAGCAGCTCCAAATTGCGTCCCATTATCGCTTACAACAGTTTCTGGTATTCCATGTCGGGCAAATATGGATTTGCAACCACGCACCACCACACTGGCTGTGAGCCGATCCAGCTGAATCATTTCAGGAAAGCGAGAATAATAGTCAATGACGACTAGATACCACTTATTCTCGAACTTGAACAAATCCATTCCAATCTTTTGCCACGGTCGCGTAGGAAAGTTGGTTGGTATCAAAGGTTCATGTTTTGAGACGGCTTCCTGGATACAAACACTGCACTTTCTGACTGTTTCCGCGATCTCTTCCGAAATTCCAGGCCACCATACCGTCTCACGTGCGCGAAGTCTTGTTTTTGTAATCCCGAAGTGCCCAGCGTGCAACTTCTCTAGGATCTCCAGTTTCATACTTGCTGGAATAACAAGACGACAGCTACGCATCAGTAGTCCATTTTGAACGCCGAGTTCATCCTTGACATGCCAATAAGAGAGCAGAGCCTGTGACATTTTCGTCAACATCTCGTCTTTGTCGGTTATACTCGAGAGAACTGCATTTTTATGCGCTGAGGTTTGCCGTTCGTTTTCACCTCCCTCGGTTGTAAGAAGTGGTTGTCTGGATAATGCATCGGCGTCGAGCAGCTCCTTTCCAGGGATGTCCAATCTTGTCTTGAGCTTTTCCATCAAAGGTATTGGTACCCGTCGAGGAGTATGCACAGCATATGGTTTTGCTCCAGGTTTCAATTTGATTTCGTAAGGGTTTCCGATCTGTCCCAGTCCTTCAAATACTTCAGGGAATTCCTTGATCGGGTTAATTCTCGTCGCAACCACTTCAATCCGCCTCGCCAGGTTCAAGAGCTCACATGCCCGGCGACTCAGAAGAGGTTCACTCAAACGACGAATGACATAAATCTTCTCCTTGATTTCATAATTGCCATTTCGCAGCGTTGATATAAACATACCCACAGTCTGAAGTTCGGAAAATTCAGCAGCTCTTATGTTGATATCACTTTCCACTAGTCGTTGCTGTCCCATTATCCTCTTGAAGAGACACAGAGGAACACATGTAACATCCGCCTGGGAGTCGAGCTTGAACTTCACCTGTTTCCCGTTCACTTGGATTTCTGCTGTCCATCGCCTCCTGCACTCGTCTTCATCATCATCGAGATTAGATAAATCCTCCACAGCTGAGACCTCCAGGAGAAAACCAATTTCTTCATCAAGTTCAGAAACAGCTTTGACTTCCGCAGTCTTCGCCTGCTTATCTGGGCAGCAATTTGCAAAATGTCCAGTTTTTGAACACAGGTTACATTTCTGTCCTTCAGCACGGCAAGCCTGTCCTTCCCTGTGGGTGAAACCTCCGCATTTTGGACATCGTGATCTTGTTTTGGCTGACTTCTCCTTCTTCCTCGAAGGCTGCTGTTGTTGTTTCGGTGATTGTTTCTTCGAGTTGAACTTCACCTGATTGACCTTTTGGCTTGTTGAGGGACGCTGCAGGTCGACTTGCTGCTGTCGAACGGCCTCCTGCTGTCGAACCATTTTCACCGACTTTTCCAAAGTCAGTTCGCTGTCCAACTGCATTCTTTCAGATAAAGCTTTGTCCCTCACTCCAACCACTATTCGGTCACGGATCAACTGCTCATGAAGACCCTCAAATTCGCAACTATCAGCCAATTTGTACAATGAAGTGATGAATTCGTCCACTGGCTCCCGATCCTCTTGGATTCTTGAATTAAATTTCGCACGTTCGTAGATAATATTCTTTCTGACACAGAAGTGGCTGTCGAATGCCTTGAGGACGGAATCAATTTTCGTTGCCT